GCGGCGCTGGAGCGGTGGGCAGACGAGCTCGAAGAGCTCGCCGAGCTCGCGGCGGAAGACGCGGATGGATCAGATCAGAACGAACCGAAGAGCGCCAGGACATCGACAGCGAGGTGTGAGCTACCACTTTCTTCCCGCTACGCTCGTGTTATATTGGAGATGTTCATGCTGCAGTTTATCGGGCCGACGATCGGCAGCGAGGAGATACCCCTTGTCCCTCGCCTCGCTGCTCATCATGGGCATTCGTTCAAGATGCTGAGCGACCGCGCGACGGCGACGGCGGCTACGGCTACCGCTGCCGCGCTTCTGCCGCTGCTGCTGCCTCTGTTGCGGTCGCTGCCATAGCTGCTGCGGCCGCACCACCCGGCGAGGCCATCCTCGCGCGCACGGACGCTACAGGCGCGGGCGCGGGGGTGGAGGGTGCGCATGAGGCGGAGATGATGGAGGCGCTCGCCGCGTGCGGCGATTGAGCGCCTCCCTCTCTCTCCGGCTGCGCGCCTGACCGGTGCAGCCTCCGAGTCGGCGTCTAGCGCGCGCGATAAGGTTTTTGCTCGCCTTCCCTGGACCCCACCTTGTGACGGTGCCCTGGCAAAATCGTCCCGATTTCGATGCGCGATTTAGCTAAGTCCCAGAGCCGTTTACGCATGAGCGGGCCCCCTCACCAGCCTAGGGCTCGCGCTTCTGGCCCGAGGTGTCGCCGCTGCCTCCCGCGCCCTCCGGCGCCTGCTGCTACTACCGGTCGGCCGGTCGGGTCCGCGCGACGGCTCCATCCTCGAGACGTAGCGGTCGCTGAGCGCTTTCTCGACCGCTACGTCTTCCAGTGCACCCACCCACCGCGACCCTCGAACCTGCGCTGCGCGGCGCAGTTGCTGCCGAGCGAGACGCCCCCGCCCGCGCAGGGGCGGCATCACCAGACGCTACCGCATGGCCGAGCAGCGAGCAGTGTGTGCCGCAGTGCCCGTCCGGGCCCTCTTGCAGCTGCCTCTATTGGGCGTAAACCGCGGATATAAGGGTCTATACGGAGGTGGGTGGCCTCTTAGAGGTATGGGAGCCGCTGGCACCGCGCTGGGCGCCGCGGATGCACGTACGAACGAACATTATGAAATCGGGACGATTTTGACCCAAAAATCACAAAAGGTGCGTGTTGCGTGACTCTCTCTCTGCGATTTCGGGCCCGGGGTTGTGCGTTTATCATCTAGAAAACCCCGGCTCTATGGAGAAAAGCATGATTTGCGCATATATTTGTGATGTAATGATGGGTCTGTTGATATCATGAGTAAGAATTCATGGTCGTGCTATCATACCCCCGAGCGCGTGAAAGTAAACCGATCCCGCGGACCGCGCGGACCGCGACTGACCCGCGACCGCTGCACCTGCAGTAATCATACATACTCGTCGCCCTGAATGGTTGCCCAGGTTACTCAGGACACGATCGCGCCGTGAACCCCTACTCTACGCGTGCGAGCCGCGTGTGAGTACGGAGGGACCATTTGAGGGGACGAACGATGATCACCGCGGCCGCGCGGCGTTCTCCCGCGGTTCAAGAGCCGGATATTGGCCGTATGTTCCTACCCAACACTACGGCTGCTGACTGTTCGGTTTCGTCTCAGTCGCTTATGACCCTCGCTGGGGTTGCGTCCCTACAGCTTCCTTCCTCGGAGGCAGCAACGCGCGCTCCAGTGGTGGTTGCGCAGGTTGCAGGAGACGCGCAGCTTGCACACGCGCGCGAGGCTGAGGCGGAGCAGGCCGGGAGAGATGCGGACCTCGTGTCGGATTGCGAGGGCGTTACGGCGCCTTCGGGCGTCAAGTACACTTCGGGCGGGAAGGCAGCAAAGCGGCCCTGGGAGGAAGAAAAGAGCGAGCTGTGTAACTCCTTCACGTGCCTTGTGTTTCAGGTCGTCGAAAGATGCTGCTCTAGGTGCGGCCCTTTCAAGCGGGGGTACGACAGGATGGCCGTGGGAAAGATTGTCGCCTCGCTTAGGCTGACTGGGCAGATGGGTCGCCGCAGGCACCTGTTGCGAGGGAAGGAACTTTGGCAATTTCTTTGCCGGAAGCACGATGTGCACATGTGCTCGTCCGAGATCCACAACGTCGTCCGCCGAGACACACGGCAGGCGATGACCCAGGAAAAAGCGCGCTTACTATCCGTCCGCGACTGAGAGTGCAGAGGCAAAGTAGGCTTGTGCCAAGCAAAAGTTTGTGAGCCACGGCCTAACTTATGCTCCGGCGTGGAAGTAGAAGCCCGTTGCGCAAACAAAGATGGCGCCCATTTCCTGTGATACTATTCTGTATGAGTCACGAAGTGCGAGGTCGAAGGTCGTCATCGTACGGCTGCGCCGTTGTGGGCAGTGTATGGGTCCGGTGTTTTGTCTCTTGGTTGGCAACTCGTACACAATTAAGAATGGGTTAGTTAGGAAAGAGAGGTGTTAAGAATCCTTAAAATACAAGCCTAGAGGTGTTAAGAAAGGTAGGTGCTAATTAGGTGCTACTGGAGGGGAGAGGTCGGAGTGTGCCGGGCTTTTTAATTCGGAGCCGCCCGACGGAGGGGTCGGGGGGAGGGGGAGTAAGGGGACAGCAGTTTGCCACCCTTAGAATTTCGCCTTCAGAAAATGGAGCTTGGAATTTCCGCCACTTTAGGCGTGGCAACGGTTTCCTGGGGCGACTAAAGTTGGGCGACTAAATTTAGGCGCGACAACCGCAGCGATGACATGGTCGTCTACCGTGCCAAGCGCAAGGGTGGGCCGGGCTCGACCGGACG